CCCCCCAGCGCCCAATGTCTTTATAAGACAAAAGGGGATTGGGAGAAAACTGTAGGAAGTAAAATTCACTAATTGAACTTGAAGGAGATGGTGAGATGGTAGGTAAAGGCTCCAAGAGGAGAGAGATGCTGAGATCCAAGGGTGCCATTTAAAGCAACATGAAAGAGGGCAGGCCTCTTCCTATTAGGAGATTAGAAGGGATTTGGCAAAATATGATACCCAAACCGAAAAGTCAGGCCCTCTTATCTGCCTCTTGCAAATGCCCTTGGGGTTCTTCATATTCTCATGAAGAGAGGTTCGGTGCCCTTTCCAAAGAATGCAAACAAACACATTTTCTCAGAAATAAGGCCACAGTGCTCTTGAGGGCAAGGAGTCAACAGACAGGTCCTGCTGGAGGATCTGCAGGCTGCTTGGGGGACCTCGTTTAACACACACACATGCACCACTCCCTGGATGCTGGGCAGTGATCTCCAAATATTAACTCATATAACAAGTTACAACCACCTCAGCGTCACCCCCGAGACGGTGCGTACCTGGTCAAAGGCAGCACAGTGCTAGCTGGAGGTGGAGCCAGGACTCCCAGGCACCTGGCGCCGGGCTCTGGGCTCTGACCCACCGTGCTGCAGGCAGAGGGGTGGCTGGCGTGAGGCTGTCACGAAGCTGTGTTGCCGGTGCTGCAGCAGCTTCGTGAGGGATAGGAAACGTCCCCAGGCCCACATCAGTGTTACATCAGCTCTGATTTCTGCTCCCGGGCCAGGGCGATGCAAAGGGCATGAGTCATGGAGACAGGCAGACCTGGTTTTGAACCTTCTATCTTCCTAGGGAAACGTATTCAACTCTTGGAGCCTTAGTTTCCATCTATAAAGGGAGGCTTATGTAACCTCTCCCAGGGTTTTGTATTAGAAACAAAATGTGAAGCCTGCTCAGCAGAGTGCCTGGTAATGGAAAGGGAGAAAGTGTCCAATCTGTAAAAGCTGTTTCAAATGTTTCCTTGTTCTAAGGCTCAGTGGAGAGCGCGTTGGGCCTCTGGACAGTCACTGTGGCCCGCTGGAGGCAGTTCACGCCTGGGAAGTAGATGGAGAACCTGGAGCGGCTGAAGGGAACGCTGTCCCTGAGCCAGTCTACCCTGGAGATTCTGCAGGCTGGGCCGCTTCCTGCCCCCACACAATGAAAAGCAATTTTAGTAAGTGTTAAGCTTAATTAGTTTGTGTCCAGGCGTGCTTTCAAGGGTTGTGCATGCACACTTGTCATCATGATCAGCCACCTGTTTCTGAAGAGCCTGTTTTTCCAGAAGTCTGTGCAGAGCTCCTCGGTGCAGTGACTGGGTGAAATATCCACTCAGTCCACCTCACTCCAGCTCCCTAGGAATGGGCCTGAAGTCAGCACCCTCTTCTGCAGCTGGAGCAGGTCAGAGGAGGGCTGGCTGCTTCCAGTGCATCTTAGCTATTTACTACGGTAGTGGACCGCCTCTGACTGGGGAGCTGGAGCGTTCGCTCAGCTCAGATAAAGTGGTCAGCACAGGCTCTGGGTGGAGCTGAGACAACTATGATATGATTCTATGTGAGTCTGAGCTGGAATTCTGGCCTAGGACATTCTTTCTGTTCTGCTGGTATTGAAGTCCAGCTGGGCGTGGCTCAGCGGGCACCAACCTAGGATCCAGGAGATCATGGTTCGATTCCTGGTCAGGGCACATGCCCGGGTTGCGGGCTCGAACCCCAGTCGAGGGCGTGCAGGAGGCAGCCGATCAATGACTCTCTCATCATTGATGTTTCTCTCTCTCTCTCCCTCTCCCTTCCTTTCTGTGAAATCAATAAAGATGTATTAAAAAGAAGAAAAGAATTTCTTTCTGGAATTACTGCCAAAGAATCTCCAGTGGGGAGGAAGGAAGGAAGGTGTGGGTGAATGCAGCTCGACAAGGCACCGGAACATAAACTCTTGGGCTACGTTGCAGATTCAAGATCATGCTGCTCTTCTTCAATGGCTCTTCCAGAGAAAATAAAAGAGACATGCATAGTTTTCCCCTCCTCACCGCCTGCGCCTCCTGCCTAAATGGGGAGGGGGGATGATAACTGCTCCTGGGGACAAACGGGAATGTGCAGTGGTTACTCTGTCACCCACTGGTTCTCTTTCTCAGGACCACTCCGTGCATAGTGGAGCCTCCAGCCTCCACTGCACTGTCACTCTGCTCCTATAGAAATGACAGTGGCCAAAGCGAAATCTTCACCCTCTGAAATCTATGGCAAGATAGATGACAGCGTGATGGAAGGAGAGAGTACACTGAGTGCCTTATCGATCCACCTGCCAGCCTGTGAATGGTGGGTAATAAAAATTTATTGAAAATTAGAAAAAATGTCACTGATTTTAATTCCTTTGAAAGGGAGTACTGATGTTGCATATGAATAGCACCCCCCCAAAGCCTTCCACAGGGCGCATTCACCATCCCCCCACCAGCCAACCCTCCAAACAGCACGGATTTAAAAATCTTGCAATTTTATTTGCATATAAAGGCCGCTAGATATAGAATATCACAATAAATTTAAAGAAACAACTGCTTTCCTAAATTTCATTAACAAGGTAACATAAAATAGAATAAAGCTCAACAGCATTTACAATGGGAAAACAGAAATGACTATTAGCGACAATATTTTGTGCTAGCGAAGATTGCATCGACACACAGTGCAAAATGGGGGGAGGGAGAGGGAGAAAGAAGACAATTCAGGGTATTTAAATATAAAGGACAACTAAGCCTTATTTTAGTTCGCTTCCATCGCATCCATTTAAGTCTATACACACCTGTAACTGTACCTAGATTTGACTCAAGCTCTTTAAGATCTTGAGTTCTGAGAAAATGTGTGAGCTCCTTCGGACTTCGGATGCCCAGCTATACAGCATCCCCTTGCAGCTCTACTGTCCTTGGCAATATTAAACTCCTAACTTAGTCATAATACACAAAAAATACTTATATATATAAACCCATATCAAAAAGGAGTTTGCACACTCATTTTTTTTTTTTTTTTACTGCATGAAATACCTGCTCTTGACAGATTCCATTTCCATATTTTTAAAGCTAAAATAATTTAAAAGAAACAAACAAACAATGAGACCTTGTATAATAACCACAGTGTGGATCTCACTAGCTAAGCCATCCTTTAAATGAGGGCCGCTTTCTTCCCCTTGACACAACTTTCTTTAGAGTGAGAGTGTGAAGGGAAGTCTTGCTCCTCGCCGACTCCTGTTGAGAAGATTCCCATCAATCGGGGCCCCACCTGCAGAACAGAAGCATGACCAAGAAAACAACAACAAAACATCAAAAAATAAAACAGTTCAAACAATACTCTTCAACAGTTGTGCAAATCCGGTTGGTTTTTAAAACACTGCCTACCTGTTTCTTTTTTTTTTCTTTCTTTTTTCTTCCAGCTTAAAGCATATTAAAATAAGACTTTTATTACCTTTTAGAAAGAAAGCTTGGCTGTCATTTGGCGAACACTAACAATTTACAATGGCGTGGCCTTCGAGAAAACAGAAGTCATTTTACAAATTCACAATGCTCCTCTGATTTCAAATGGATACCCCATTTAAAAAATAATAATAATAATAATAATAAAGAAGCACAACCTCTAGCATCATTTTTTTTTTTTCTTGTTCCAGCAATTTACAAAAAGAACTCACAGAATTTGGAAATCAACAAGTCAGAGAATGTAAATTTATAATTAGAAAAAATGGCAGTTTATAGACCTTCCCTCACACTGGGCATTCCGAGCTTCAGGAACCCTGTGGGTTCGGAAGGTCAAATATAATTGGAGGGTTGGTCGGTTGAAAGCTGACTGTACACGTGGAGGCGTTGATGTAGGTGGTGTAACCGTCGGTCATGATGCCGTAACCTGTGGGGGGAGAGAGTGTCACGCTTACTGTAAAACATACAAATAACAGCGACTCGATGCGGGGCCATCAGGCAAGGAAAACAAACAAGCAAGTCTTTGCCAGTGGGCAGGGAGATGAAATTCAGCGGAGCCTCCCAGATATAACAGCTTTGAGAAGCAGCTCTCGATTTTATTCTACTTTCTTTAAAAGGAGAATCCTCTACTTCAAAGAGAAGGGATTCTTTTGTCCGTATTTAAATACTGGATCTGTCAGAGAAAGGCCGTAAAGTGTCTTTACTAGGGAGAATATATATATAAAAAAATATGCCCTTTTTTTAAAATGTGATTTTCATTTCAAAGCACCTGTGTTAACTATTGAGTTCTAGGGGAGAGAGTGAGTAACATAAACTCAGGGACACACATCCAAGCCCCAAGAAGACTTCCAGACGCATGAGCAAGAAGAGGAGTTGCATTGGGAGCTGGGAGAGGGGGCTGCTCAGCTTCCCTATCTGTGAAATACCATCTAAACTGCCGCAGTGAAAGGACACCGTAAGTGCTCTCCTCTTACTTAAATTGTGTGGCTTTCATCCTGAGTTCCATTTCATTCAAAAAAGTCAAGTAATCAGACGTCCTAGTGACTTGGAGAAAGATCGCCATAGGACACTGCTTCCTAAGCTTACCTGGACACTGAATCAAGCAAAAAACACTTCCCACATGCAGTATAAATCTCTTGTGACCTACTGGAAGAAAGCTAAGAAAGTTTCTCTGGGTCTTTGGTCTGTACGATCTTTTTATAATTTTTAATACATTGAAATTTTCAGCATGTTTGCAAATTTGCACATTTCCCTGGATACCTTGTTTGCCTTATAGCCTCTGCAATTAAGTTTGTAATTCTATGCTGGTATCAAGCTCTAGGGCACAGAAAAATATGCCTGTGAAAAAAATGAAATTACCAGGGCTTACAGAAATAACTGATAAGGGTTTTTCCCCCCCCTTCCAAACTGCTAAAATTTCTCCAAGTAAGCCTGCGGAGAGCTTAATGAGGGTCAATGGAAAAATCTCTTAAGAAAAGAAAAGAGGCATTTAAAACTTGCCCTGTTTAGTTCTGGGGTCAGAAAGCCTTGTTATCGCTCTCCATCAGGAGGCTGGCATTTGCCCTCTCTCTGCCCTCTTCAGCTGTCAGGCGAATAAAATCGAGACCAGTTTATTTGAATATGATCTCCTCCCTTTTAAGCAAGTTTATTATTTTGGGACTTCAGTGGAATTCCCCAATTGTCTGGCTAGTTTAAAGCTAATTAATGATTAAAAAAAAAAAAGATGAAATGCAAACCCATAGGCATGCTGCAGGAATTTAAACCTGATAACTGCCCCTAGAAATGCTGTTTAGACATGAGCGCCCATTCCTCTTACCCCTGAATCATGCATCAGGCCTTAGAGAAGTGCCCTCCTTTTCAGGGAACACAGCTCAGTCAGGGCAGGGTGACATCCGCTCTCGGGGAGCTGCACCCCTGCTTTCCATCCCCTTAACTGGAGCCTGCACTTGGAGCTCACTTACTTTTTCTGGCCTCAGTAGGATGATTGCCAGTATGTTCTCTATTACCTGCCTAAACCAGGAAGCCACTGGATTTGTGGACTTTGAAAAGCAAACTTGGTTTTTCTGTTTTTGTTGTTTTTTTCATTGGTCACATAGACCTAAACACCTCAAATGCAGATTCATAAATAACCTTAAGGAGCAGCTATAAGCAGGACACGGAGAGGATATGTGTCTGCCTACATACACACACCCACTGCACACAAACGTGTGTAACTGGGAGAGTCCGGCGGGGCCAGAAAAATCAAAGGCCGGCTGAAAGAGGGCTCTGGTTCTGTCCGAAGGCCCGGTTCCCCCGGTTTGCAAAAGGGAGGGCAGACCAACCTAGAACCCTGAAGGTTCCTGGGAGACTTCCAGGTTCTGTGAACTTGACTCCAGCTTACTCGGAAAGGCAGAAAACGGCAACTGGACCAGTTCCCATTTAGGGTGGATTTAATTATTCTGTTTAACCTCAGCCGGAGCTAATAGCGCTGATGACTTCTGAGAAGTCTGAAATGGTTTTCTGAGGTTACTGGTTCCTGCCACTTCTGTTACATGGCTTTCGCTGCATGCCCAAAGTTATTTTTTGAAGACTGTCTTGTCTTCCTGGGTCTCTGTGTGCATTCTACATGAAGCACATTTAGAGGTAGGAAGAGGCCACAGGAGTTATTTAGTCTAAAATCCAGGCCGTTTCTTCCAACACTCAAAGAGGGAATTTGTCCTTTATTACTTCACGGCTGTCCTACCACAGTGGTTATCAAACATTCCTCATCAGAGCCCTGAAATTCCAGAGGCTGCCCGGGGGGAGTGCTGGGTTTTCTACAAGGTGGGTCAGGCCTGGCTTCTACTCTGTTTAAAAGAGAGCAGCTCCTATAAAATATTTATCAGCTTTATATGCAGGTGTTTCTCCTAATATTTTATCTGAGAGTTCTGCTGCTAGGAAGAGTTTGAAAATTATTGCTCCAGTGACTCCCAGTGCAGCCAATGTCCCCACTGTGGCACGGGATCATGGCTAACGACACAACATGTCCTGAGCTCCTTTCTTCTGGTCTTACCTTCATGAATTCCACCAAACACGTGCAGCTTGGGTCGGACTCGCCTCTGGACTGTGTTTAAAAGCTCCACGCAGCCCACTCTCTGAAGCTCCTTTGGAACCCAGTCTCGAAAACCTAAGGGCAAAATGCAATCAATACTCTTAATTTTCTTTCTTCAGGTAAGGTTTCATTTAGACTTTCAGGAAGCCATAACTCACGGAAGGTTTATTACATTATCTGTAATCCTAGCCTCTCCATTAAAGCTCACAATGGCTTTTAAGGAACTTCTCACTCGTCACTTTGTCTTCTTTAGGTTCTTGAAAAGAATTTTTTTTTTTTTTTTGGTTTCCATTTTTTTTCTTCCTGTTAATTAACCTTTTTTTTTTTCTTTCTGTGAGGGCTTTGATTTACTTAGCCACGGGTTTCAAATCTTCTTCATGGGCCCAGTGACATTTATTCCCGGCAGTCCCATAATGTCTCTTCCTCCCCTGATTCAGTTCCTTTCTTTTTTTATTATACTTTCCTAATAGCAGTTTACTTCCAAGATAATTCAAAGACAGTTTGGGAAGAGCTGCCTGCCAACTGGCCACAAGATACCTTGCTCTCTTTAGATCACCAACTTTTAACCCTTGGAGGTTCCTGACGACCAAAGCTTGGGGATGCCAACTTCCTCCTCTAGTCTCCTCTCTAGCGACAGGCAGCAACGGTGACCTCGCGGTGACATGTAGAAAGCTGGGGCTATGTAAAAGTCACTTAGTTCTACACTTAATGCAGAAAATCCATAAAAACTGACATCAATTATAGCAAAAGTTAGCTGTCTGAATGATTATGGTCCAAGTGACTCAGCAGGACGGGGCGTAAAGAAGGCAGGTGGGACAAAAGGCTAAGTCATAGTCAGTGGGAACCCATTCCATAGCTCCATGAGGTGATTCCTGTTATAGAGAAGTGATCAGGCAGAAAGGGACAGGACGAGTCTATTCCACTTTGGCGAGACTGGAGAGATTTAGCATCTCTTTAAAGACATGTTGGCTGGAGTGTGGGGAATGGCCAGAGTCTGGGAGGAAGAACATCAGAAAGTGGGGGCCCTATAAAAACCCAACCAGAGTTTTTAAAACTTTGTTAATTAGAGGGAAAAAATCCTTAGTTCACAGTAATTGGCATATTCTCTATTCCCTCCGGATGTGCTTTTTCTTGAAGGGGTAAATATCTCATTTTGTATACAATCACCAGAGAAAGCATCTTGCTCACATCATAATAATAAAGTCCCATGGCGTGGTGGCTTCCCTTCCCAGGAGAAACTTCAAGGCCAATCCCCAGCCCCCACTCCCACCTCCCAAGGCGGCATTTTCACAAGAGTCCCAATAGCTGTACTGACTGAGGTTCAGCTTTACCTTATGAAACTCCACCTGAGTTTTCCTTTTGGAACTCCAGATCTTACTCTGCTCTATGCACAGCTCCCTGGACACTTCAGCTTTGCTACAAAGAGAGGGTAGCTTCCCTCGCGAGGACATCTGAATCCTTTGGTGGCTAGAATTCAGACTTCCTGTTATTACCACTTACTTTTGTACCAAAATTAACAACTTGATGAAGTCTGTGTATGAACTGATCTGTCCAAAGTTATATTTCAAATAATACTTCAGGCACGTAAATGCCCAAGTCCCTTATAGTAAGAGGCCTATGGGGAATCATGCCCGAGCCCAACCAGGCTGCCTGGGGAAAGCTCCCAGCTGGCTGGGATGCCATCTCTGGAGGATCTCACTGGGTAACTCTGCTGATCAGAATATTCCACTAGCAATTTAATGCTTTAGTAAGTTTCTAATGGTTGCAAAATAGGCAAGTGAATTAATTATGACTTGATAAGTTTGTGGATAAGTATAATCTTTTAAAACATGGGATGGAGTGGTATGGGGTAGGGAAAAAGCATGGGGACGGTGGTTCCGAAGCGTTGAAAACATTAGGAAGTGCAAGTTGTGTACAAATCTACAGTCTCCCGCCTGCAACAGACCTGGCGCCCCTTCTCGTTTCGCCAGGATTAAAATGTGCCACCAGTTCAGGCCCTGGTCCTCCCTGCCTCTGGGTCTTTGTGACACACTGAGCACTTCCCTTCTAAGGGCAGGAGAGCAGCACTTAGTGTCTCGGAGGCAAAAATATCCAAAAGATTAAATTCGCATTAGGGGATGTGTGTTAGGTCTTTTATTTTTCAGGCTCACGGAGGAGAAAAGTGACATGAGTAACAGTCCTAGACCACAGGAAAAAAAAAAAGTGAAAATCATGTATTTTCGTAGTGTTTTCCCCCTCTCTCTAAATCAAGATGATCGAGAAAAGTTTTCTAGTACCCTTACAGATTTGCTGAGAGGCTACGTGTTTCTTACCACAACTTAAAGAGAAAGAAAACTCTCCTACTAAAAGTGAAACATCTGAATTTCCTGAGCACAGCTTAGTTTGATAAGGGAGGGTCCTGGTATAACAGACACTGAGTAGATGGGGGATCCCGGCGGTAGTCATGTTTGGAAAATGTTCTGTGGCTAAGCCAAACCCTAACGAGCGCACAAATAACTAGGAGGTAATTATAGAAATCAAATAATTGCCCTGGCAGGCGTGGCTCAGTTGGTTGGAGCATCATCCTGTACACAGAAAGGTCACAGGTTCGATTCCCAGTCAGGAAACATACCTAGGTTGTGGGTTGGATCCCCAGTTGGGGTGCTTACAGGAGGCAACCCATCGATGTTTCTCTCTCACAGTGATGTCTCTCTCTTTCTCTCTCTCTCCAAATCAATGAACATGTCCTTGGGTGAGTACTAAAGAAAAAAAAAAATTCAAATAATCATCTTGTAACCCATAAATTGGGTAACCACAGGTCGCCTGGAAGCACACTGGCAATCTACACCTGGTTGTGGGCTCAATATATCTACAGGATGAGTAGCTTTAAGTGACATTCAATGTAAGTCCTTATTTAACACCTTACTAAAAAAAAAAAATAATAAAAGGGTCCTTTTCTCATATAACCAGCACAATGGTTAAACTTTAAAGATCTCCCAGGTTATATGATGATATGGAAAAGAAAAAATGAGCTCCTTTGAACAAAAGTTTCCATCATCTCACTGCCACGCAAAAGCCCTGTGATTGGGAGGCCCCCGTCTTCCTTCCAGTCCCCATTCCTTTACTCCAAAGTGAATACAGTTCTTAAAATAAATTACCAAGCTCAAAAGACTGTGGCGCTCCATACTCATTTGATTTTCCCTGACTTGACTAAATCAAAAAATTTAATTTCAAGAACACCTGTAAGCCCAGCAGAACTGCTGAGTTTAATTATCATACCGGGGTTCTTTAAAGACATCGATACTTTTCTTTTAGTACCCCCCCTTTTTTTTTAAAAAAAGAAAAATTATTATGTCCCCAGAGCACTTATTCATCACGCTTGGGGAAAAAAGGCGTCTTCTACGACACAAAAGGAAAACCTTCGCTTCACTTACCTAGAGGAGGTCCGTGCGTCATGAGAATGTCGATGCCCTCGGGGATGAGGTTCCATTTGTCCAGCAGAGACTGGCCTCTGGGTAGGTTAAAGCCCCATCCGTTAAACCACGGGGTCCTTGGGGAGACAAGGCACGGTGTCAGGCGGGCAGGCCCGTTTCTGCCCTGCCACCGCTCTCGCACATGCCCCCGGCGGCGGCTCTTTGCTTTTTGCCGCTGGCCCCGGCCGCGGGCCGCCCTTCTGTTGGCCGCTTCAAAACCAACCCATCTGAAAGCAAGTGCGGGGCCTGCGGCTGCTCAGCTAGAACGGGGCACGCGGCCTTTGCGTGGAGACTTTCCCAGCAGACTTGTGTCAAAACCTGAACCATGCTGAGTCCTTCCCGAAATCTCAGTGCCTGCTCAGATGCCCAGCCCAGCCCGAAGCACCCTGCCCCTCCTGCAGGGCCTCGGGGCTAAGAAGTGCCATCCACGCCCCTTCCTCCCCATCACTGTGGACTGACTTCCCCCGGGGGTTCTCGCTGAAGTCCTGGGAGAGAAGTAGGAGGGTTGGAAGGCAGACACCTCGGTATGTGGGGAATATCCTGGGCCGAGGATACGGGAAAAAATATATGGGGATTCTGAGAGGTGAGACGGGACACAGCGAACAAAAGGCCAATGTGGAATTTTCCTCTGTCACCAAAGGGGAGATTTCTGGGGAATCTATTGTCCTGACAGTGAGTGCGAGCAGCCCACTCTCCCAGGAACCTCTGCTCTAGGAGTGAGGTTCTGTGATCACTGCTGTGGGGTGTCCATCCAACAAGTAAGCATATCTACCTGGACCTGAAAATGTCTGCCATTTATAACAACAGGAGAATGGCCAATTTTCCTCTACCAATACCACAGGCTAAATCACAGCAGAACAAAGCAGTGCCCAATGCTTTGTCTTAAACATCTGGCTATAACCATTAGTTTTTGAACCAACTCTTTTGCTCCCTGGGAAAATTCCAACTTGCTAAGGCGTACATGCAGAAAAGACAAGTTGGTCAACTTTCTGGTTTAGCCTTTAACCTTCAACTGCAGCCGCCTCTTCCATGCCTCCTGAAAGAGGAGCCCCGGTGTCCAAGGTCACCTGGGCAGTCACAGCTGGTTAAACAAGGTGCACTCTTACTTAAAGCCTTTCATGGCCCAGGCCAGTCAGATTCTCCCAAGGCTCTGAACTTGGAAACCCTGACCCAGCATTCACTTGGTGATGGACACGTGCAGTCAAGGCCAGAGGTGAAAGAATGAGAACAAAAAGCCATGTGAACACACAAGTTACAGGTGAGAACCTCAGTTCTCAATGAGGTTTGAGGGAGAAAGTTCCAGAGATAAGAGTCTGTGTTGCCCCAACTAGAAACAGAGAAACCATGTAAGTATCTGACTTGGTTCCTAACCGCTTTCCATGTCCCTAAGTCATCCTCAGGAAGCTTACTTGTGATAACAATAGTAATATGAAACAATAAGAATAATTATTATAAAGCTATTATTTATTGAATGTTTATGTCAAGGTACTATTCTAAGCACTTTATTTTTATAACATATTTAAACCTCACAACAAGCTCATGATGTGGGTACTATTATTAACCCCATTTTACATATGAGAAAACTGAGGCACAGAGAGGCCCACTAAACACAACCAATAGATTGGATCTAAACCCAACCAGGCTGGTTCCAAAACCCATACTCTTCACCACCATGCAATTCCTCTTCTTATATATAACCTGAATGAACTTACAATTTTCTGGCCCTGGGTGAGTCCTTTCTTTCAAGTTTGAGTGTTTTGTTGCTTGAAGCCAAATGAGCTCGTAATGGGAATAATATATATATATGGCATGGTTCTGAAATCCAGCAATAAGATGCTGAAACAGACAGGAGTAAGATGGTGGAGTGGACACCAATGGTTTCTGCNGGCATGGTTCTGAAATCCAGCAATAAGACGCTGAAACAGACAGGAGTAAGATGGTGGAGTGGACACCAATGGTTTCTGCCTGCTCAGATCTTTCCTCTTTTCTTTTGGTAACAGCGTCTGAATTGTCTGGGAGCTATTTTAGCCACCATGCTGGTAGCCTGAGCTTGGAAATCAAACCACCACAAAGAAAGCCAAGAAACAGAGCACCTTGATGACGCTGCTGGACATCGGGATCCTGCTGCGCCTGAAGCCAATCACATTTTCCTTCTAAGTATACAAGCGAGCAAAACCCTTTTCTTTTTATTAGCTTGAGTTAGTTAGATCCTGATTCTTGCAACTGAAGAAGTCCTATTATATACAATTATTGCATTTAGTGTAGAGATGACCTACATACCCAGGGTAGGCAATAATCTCTCCCAACCCCCAAGATGGTTATGTTCCAATTCTTGGAAACTGTAAACATGCTACTTTACATAGCAAAGGGGAATGAAGGTTGCCATGGAGTTCAGGAGCTAATCAGCTGACCTTAAATGAGGGGGATTTAAATGAGGCACAAGCCAAGGAATGTGGGCAGCCTCTAGAAGCTGGAAAAGATAAGGAAAGGAAAGGAATTCTCCAAGGAGCCTCCAGAAAGGAGCA